GAGTGTGCGATCAGATTCTTTGTGGAGCGTGGCGACTTTCTGTGCAACGCCTGGAACTTGGTGGACCTTCTCACGGTGGTCTTAGGCTGGTCCAGTGCCCGGGACTTGAACTTAGCGCTTGGATCCAAGAAGCTTGTTTTTGTTTGTTCGCTTGTTTTTTTCCTGAACATGTGGCTGAAGTTGAAGAGGGAGCCACCTCACGAGAGGCTGATGGACTTGAGTCTTCACCTAACGATGTCCACCAGACAGTTCCCAGTTATAGTTCGCACTGAACGTCGGAAAATGCCTTTCCAAGATGATGCAGGTCTCCCAAAACCAATTATCTTGTTAGCGTTCATGATTGGAAGGGGGCTTGACGCCCAAATTCCTTCTTGCCCTCAACGGTAGAAGCCTTGTTTGATATCCTTTCCTTTCCCAGGTGCCACGTTTTGTGTTGAAGAACCCCTGCTGATATTGCTCAAATCCGCATTTTTCCACCAAACAATCCAACAAACCAACCAAACCACGCCAAACCAACCCAACCCACACCCGACACTTCCCGACTTCGCCGAGCCCCAGGCATGGCCCTCAGCATGCTGAACTTCAGCCTGCTCCGCTTGGCTCGCCTGGTGCGAGTCCTGCGCGCCGCGCGGGTTTTCATCTCGGTGCCCGAGTTCTACTTGCCGCCGGCCTGCGGATTTGGGTGGTGCGCTTTGATCCGCAGGGTTTTGGAGGCAAATAGGGTGCAAATTCTGTTGGTGCAATAGGTTTTTGGATTTAGGTGCGCAGTGGGCACAAAGCCTGTTCGCAACAGGGTTTTGGAGGCGAGAAGCCCCTTGAACAACCAAACAGCGAGTGTGTCAAAGGCCCAGCGAATGAAAGTGATCGGTTTGGTTTTCGCTGTAAAACTCCAACAAGCACCCAAAAATAGCACACGCACACACAACCATTTGAGCTGGGCTTTATGTACTACCTGCAACTTCACCTGGAACCCAGAAAGGAGTCCCTCAAGATTCCTTTGCATACCCCAAAACATCCGCTTGGTCTCTTGCGCTCTGAAGTATGCCCCAAAACATGACTGGCAGGCTCTTGCGTGATCATTCATTTAGCAGTCGAAGCAGATTTAAAGCTTGGGCCCCTGCTCTACACCAAAGAAAACGCCTTGGGCACTGGGCACCCAACCACCCAAATACGTGCGTCCAAAACAATCCAAGTGTTTCTTAGTGTCGTTTATTTATATATAATGATATGAATGTGTTTGTGTGTGTGTGCGTGTTTGTGTGCGCGGGCGTGTGCAGCTTGAGCTGCTCTTCCAGTGTGCCGCTATCCTTCTATATAATCCAGTGCGAGGCTGGTCACTTTCATTCCCTGAAATGAACTTTGATATGAAGAGTTTGTGCACGATTTCGATTTCCCAAGAAGCCAATCAACCCCTTTCGAAAGGACAAACTAGAATTATGTCAAGCCTTGAGGCTGCTGCGTTGGGTGCTCGGGGTCGTTCAGACAGGAGAACTCGTTTTCCCCACCCTAAACGGTTTCGATTGACCTCTAGCCTTTTGGTAGGGTCCAAGCCGCTCAGCCAGAGTGCTCCAGACTCCGAATCTGAGGCTTGTCTCCGGGTTGTACTCATCCATGAAGGCAATCCTTTTCGGCTCCCTGATTTTAGTGTCTGTCATTGGCTTCTGGGCCGTCATTGCGGTGCCTTGGCTGCACTGGCAAAGTTGGTTGCCCATGCTTGCTCAGGACCGGAGCAGTTGCAACATATCGTTCGCGTCCTTTCCTAGTGCATGCGATGCATTTATCCTCGGTGACGTGTGGTTGTGTAACTTTACTTGCAAATGAACCACGTTGTGTGAAGTCCAAGCTGCAAGGTGGAAATGCTGCATCCAATCGTGGCCAGCCTCTTGGCACAAGCGAAGGTGGACAGGCCATGGCGAACAGACCAGCTCTGGACGATCAATCGAACAGACCCTTAGTCGTGAAGTTTCGACATTTGCACTGAGTAAGGGTTGGCCAACAGCCATGTGTGAGGCCTGGGGAAGTCAGCCATGGGATTAGAGCAAAAAATGTATCCCAGGTGCTGCTTGAGCCCATTGAGTGGCAAGCCGTATCCAAAGGGCCCTTCCGCACAAGTCCGACTTTGGGACAAATCAAAAACGCTGCAAGCACAGAGCCCCCGGTCTGAGGCATTCAGTTCACCAGCTGCGAGCGATGTCATGGAGGTTTCCGCTCCGTGCTTGCTGCCAGCGTCACGCTCTTCCAGCAGAGCCTTGCTGAAGGGGCACCAACTGGGTCTGTGTTCAAATGGGGTTGTGTCCAACTAGGGCTTTAACTAGGGGATTCACTAGAATTTATGGTTTCTTTTGGCTTCCCTTTGAAGTATCATTTTAAAACAGCCTGCCCTAAGACAATCCCAAAAGGAGGGAGCCCAAAACGTGGGTGGTTGCTGTTTGATTTTCCTGCAAACTAACCGCAAACAGTGTACCCTCAAAACAGACACGGGTCATCAGCTGGTCGTCCTTCCGCGGAGTTGGCTAAATAGAAGTAAAGTTTGACAGAAGGCAGGAAGATAGGCGTCTTGCCTTGCGTTTTGGGTAGTGACGGTGGAGTTGTAAAGCTACGGGGGGTCCCTTGAACTCTTGGGCTTCAAACGCTGGTGAGGCAGCCATTGTTTCCCCCCTCACTTTTCAGAAAGTAACCTAGCACAAACTACTTTGCAACAATAGGCTCGCCCGCAAGCATCAGGGGCCGCTCCTGGAGGCTTGTCATTTGGCCAACTAATGATGCTTGTTTACCTCCACACACCCGTTTTGCGCGGAGCAACATTCCGAACAAACGGCAACTTCGAGAGGAGTCTCGGTTTGGGCGGCTCGGTAACATGGGGTTCCAAGTCGATTCGAAACCTGAAGTCACAAATGAAGACACGCACTTGAAGTTAAGCGCGGCTGTTTGGCTGTTGAAGGCGCACCCCCTCCCCGTGACAACAGAAAGCAGGGGTGAAGAGCAAACATGCCGACAAAGATAAATACAATCTTCAAGTTTTAGGATTTTGGGTGCGTGCCGGAATATAGGCACCAAGAGTCAGAGGAATTACAGCAAGTGCCACTGCGGGTCTCAACATCCGACCCATTCAGGGTTGGGAACGTGGTGAACTGATCTTGGATGCATGTGAGTGGCCCTTGCGCATTTTGGAACCCCATGATTGCCGCAGATTTGCCCTTGTTGCCCTTTCATGTGCCATCTTAATTTGTAGGGAGGCATCAATCGTATTTGAACCCTGGCTTGTGTAACTGATCCGTGAGTCAAATCCGCAGCCCACCCCGCCCAACCCTGCTCGACCCCGCCACTCAAAGAAGCCTGCGTGCCCCGCCTGACCACCGTGGCGTCCAGGGCTTCAAATCGCCCATGGTTGGTTTCCCTTCGCGGAAACCAACATTCAATGAGCATTTCATATATTTCTTCGTTCCCTTGTTGCCCTTCTGCTGTTTCTAAGCATCATCTTGGCCAATGGAAGGCGGGTCTGTTTCTGGAGCCCTGCCCTCGCAGCTAAACCCCAGGATTGTGGCCGGCGACTCCTGGGGGGAGATCTCCGTGCCGCTGATCGAGACGGCCCCCGAGACCACGCCCATCCTGCTGCTCGGAGTTTGGCCCCCCAAAAACTTCCCCAGAATTAGCTCCCCCTGTTTTTCTTTTTGTTTGCTTTTTTAGGGTCCCTTTGTTTTCCACTCACCTGGCAAAAAAAATATATTTTTTGCTGGGGTCCCAACTCCAGCCTAGAAAACGAACGGGTCTTTTCTCTTTTGGCTTCCCTTTGAGACAACCGCGCAAACGCGTACCCTCAGAAAACAGCCACACAAGATGTCAGTCATGGCAGTCCTGTTGCCTGACCGTTTCCAACTCTGATTCGTGTCCGTCTCCCGCGAGACCTTTGATATTTACATTGGGATCCTCCATGTTGGGCTTATTTGGCTATGTGCTATACTTACATATGCATGTGCATGCTGGTGTCATGTTATGTCAGGACATGCCTTGGGACGCCTTGGCCCGGTCTCATTTGTTGAAAGGCGAGTGCTGCCAAAGCAGACGCGCCAACCAGCGCACGCATCATGCTTGGTCTTATCCCAACCCAGGGCTCCAAAGGGCTTTTCAGTTTTTTTTGTGGATCCCCTTTTGGTTGGTTCCAAAGGGAAGCAGCAGGCCCACCCACCCATTTTGGGTTTGGGGGGAGGGGGCCTTCGAGGAACACCCTTGTGCCTTCCATTGGCCCCTCCCGATTTGGGGCAGCCAAGTGGCACACTTGCAGAACGAGCCACAATCGAAACTTAGGGACAATCCCAACCAATAGCTGCGCCCGCCTTCTTATAATTTGATCTACCACTTTGATGCCGGGTTTTGACTATGACTCAAATGACGATCGGCACTTTCTCTTTGAGGATTTCGCCGAATGGTGTGATTCCAGCATGATATGTTGCGTAAATGTGCGTGCACGTATGCGCGCAACATTGCTGAACGTATATTACTCTCTCTCTCTCTCTATATATATATATGTATATTATATAATAGCATCATATATTGTATATACATGTGTATGCCCAAGCTTGGCCAGAACTGATGCAAGCCACATTCTGCTCAGTTGCATCATGCCATGCCGTAGAGCCAACAGGGACAGTCCATGAAGGTCATGGCTTTATCAGTTTCGAGGGCATTGAGACGGTGTGTGCATTGGAGTACTTAGGTTTGCCATCATGGTCACGGTGTCGCTGGGAGTGATGAACTTGATCCTGGCCGTTCCTGGGTAACAAATTCCATATGTGTCCTGTGAGTGCAATGAACGTTTAGCCAATATTTTAGCACAAGAATCATTTTTTGGAGGGCACCTTTGCTTGACAGGAGCCCTTTGGCGGAGACGTGTCATTGCTTGAAAGGCTGCATGCATTGTGAGCAGCTTGCTTCTTGGCAAACAACATGGCATGCTCGCGAAGTCTCATTCTTGCTGGCCGCAGCTTCCTTTTTGGCAGTGCTGTGGCGCGGTAGCGAAAGAGTTCACATGTCAGACCTTCGAAGACCAAATCCGAGAGAGCTCGTTGGATTTCTGGGAATCCGGCGGCCTGAGTCATCGCCTTTCCAAATTCTAGGCGCGTTTTGGTTCAGTCCAATTCGAGCCCGCAAATGCCGCAGGTTATCGTGGAGAGAGCCACCGAAGCGCGGGAAAACGATCACGACCGCAAGCTCAAGAAGAAGGAGTTCTATGAGCATAGGTGTCCTTTTTGATTGTTTTGGTAGAAAAATAGACGGCCCTGGTTTACCTGGTGGTTCAATCATCTACCAGGGCCATCCATTTTCCCAAAAAGGACACCTATGCCTATGAGTCTCCTGCTTGTTTGTTCGCGGGCAAATCTTGTAGCCAGATTGCACGTACATGGCTACCTGCCAACTTGAGGTTGATGCGGTTTACATTTCGGGCCTTTCGTTGGCCATGTTTAGAGATTCGGATCACTGGTTCTCACAGGAGGTGGAGAGGAGCAAGAACATGACCGACTTTGCAGTGCTGTGCCACGATATGGATGCTCGGCAGCATTGAGCCACCGACTGCCAGACTGCCCCCCCAAATTCTGGCTGGCAACTTGTAAAAAGCACAGGGTTTCAACAACTGGCGTCAATGTTTTCACCAAGCTTTCGAGATATGAGAGTGAGCGTGTACAGCACCAAAACAGGTTGTGGTTGATTGGCGTACCTTGGTTTGGAATGGTTTTGAGCTGAAACCCTCAACCAGTTGGCAGTGATTATAGTTGCTCTGCTTGAATAGATATATTCTCATCCTTTGCCATGTCCGCGGGCTTAGCCTGTCCACTGGCTTGTGTGGATCCCCACCACCTGATGCTGCAAAACTCAATGAGAACCGGGCAGGGACCAGTCAATGCATATTAACTCATATCTGGGAGTCACGTTATAGAAGAATATTTGCAAGTCTTGAGCCCCGTATTGTAGCCTCCTCCACTATGCCCAGCACGGCGGTGCGACGCTGCAGAAGGCTCGCGGCACATCTCAAGGAAGCAGGATGTGTGGCAAAGCAATTTTGGTCCACAGTTCAGAAATATGCTGCCCATGCCCCTCGAGACAGCCAATTCGAGCACTGTTTGCAAGTCCGGCTGGGGACGCCTAGGTAGAACAGATGTGCCTCATTGAAGATCAACTCACTCCGGGTTTTCCACCTTTGCCTTACGATTCAAGACACTTTGTGTAGGCTTTTGTCTTCACGTCGATCCTCCAAGGACAAAGATGGCAGCGGCTCCCTCTCGTTGGATGAGATGCTCAAGGGCTATGATGAAAACGAATCCTTCTCCAAGCTCATGGGAGTGATGGACATCCACCGTGCCACGATTAGTGGATGTGTCATCTGAAACGTTGACGGCTCCCCCAAATGGGTTGGGAACCGAAACCCTGCAAGCCCACACCGGACATGGGTACCATGAAGACATACCCAAGCGCGCGATGTTTGCGGCCCCTGAATCTCGCTACGCACAAGGTTCTATGATGGCGTCAAAGGTTGGACAACGGCCTCCCCCCCCAAAACACATGGGGGCTGTCGAGTGGGTTTCCCTTTAAACCCACCTGAAAGGGTATTCCGATATCCTCAAGACACTCACACCCTCACAAACCTTTGGTTGCCTTAGGTGATGACATGCAGACCATCTTCCGGGTCCTGGACACGGAAGCCCGGACCAGTTCTTCTTGTAGTTTCGCTTTGGGTCTTCTTTTGAGCTTCCGGTTCCTATTCCTTTCAAGAGACTTCGGCCCAGAGCAGACAGGTTAATAGAACCGTTCTAAGAACTCCCAATCAGTTTCTAAACACAGGAAGTAAGGGGCGGGGGCTTTGATTTTCTCTGTGATGTTGGAACCTGGTGGTTCTGCCCACAGCCTGGCCTGTCTCAGGATTGGAGTGGGGAGGTCTCGTACCTGGAGTTTTGCCAGCACTTGGCCGGGTTCTTTGAGCGAGACCCGACCATCTTGCAGAGCCTCCTGAAGCGCCGTGGTCGGAAACCGAGCAGAGAGTTTCGAGGGTCACTGGTAAGCTTCAACGAGAGGATTGCGGGTGGTTCTGACTGGGGAACTTAGACTGGTTCTGCGGAAGCCTCCCAAGAACTGGTTTTTTCATAGCGCAAGGTGGCGCGCTATAGCTGTCCAGGCAGACCCCCATGGACAGGTCTTTTTTGGACCCCATATTTCGCTCCCAGGTCTTGCGACAGGGTCTACCCATTTTCTTCCCTTTGGGTTTCGAACGTCACTGACCCTTCAAAGCCCAATTTCAACGCAAACTTCTTTGGGCGATGTTTAAGGGAAGCCTTGTGAAAGGGCGCCAACGTTGCTCTGCAGCACGGACGGAAGGTGATAAACCCAAGGGGGGGAAGCTCGGTCAGAAAATGCCAACAGCGCTTGGAGTTCAGGTGCAGGAATGACCCAGCTGTTCAGTGCCACCCTTTTACCCGTTGTGTTTGGCGGTTTCAGCACTGAAAAAGTCAGCCCCAACGTAGGTTCCGTTTACCTTTTTTAACAGAGTCACTGGTTGGAACAGGAAATCCTTATCGCGAGGCCTGGACATGCGGAAGCCTTGTGCGTGGCAGAACGCCCTCTCGCTTGCGGTCGCGGATATATCGGGAAATGGCTCGCCGGTAGGTACCTACTTACGGCTTTTCTCAGACTGAATACTTTGGCGAGGCCCTCATCAGAGGCTTGCAGGAGGGTGCATGAAAAGTCCCAAAGGTGCGCTGAGACCATTTTCGGGAAGGCGTTCAGGGAAAGCAAAACGGAAGCCACCTGGAAATGCCCTCAGTTTTGAGCAAGACACATATTGTGCGTGCACTGCCAGCTGTGTCCAAGGTATTCCATCCTGGAAGTGAGGAAGATGATTAGTGTAGAGCCTTGGCTTTTGGCCGCGTGACCCCTCGGCCTTCCCAAGATTTTGGGGGTTGAATGTGCATGCTTTGTGTCTCAAGGGAGGTAAAGAGAACCCTCCTTTTGGAAGCAAACAGGTGCGGAGCTTCCGCCAGTCGTCTTCTTTGTTTTCACCACGAGCTGCGTTTTGCGCAGCTACCCAGAAGTGGCTCACCTGATTGGTCGATTGGTCCAGGAGGGAGCCTTCTCCATAGACTCGTACCTCCCTACTTTCTTTAGTAGGTGACTGACGGGGGTGCAACAACCTTATGGGTTGTCCAATCTTCCTTTTTTTTCTCCAACCCAAATGGGGGTTTTCCTCCAAAGTGAATCCGTTTTGCCCAGAGGGGACTTGCGCCTCAGAACGCCAAACCCTAACCCAAGGACGTCCAGGGCACGCTGCGCGAGCACACCAAAATGCTTCGAGAGCAGCAGCGACTCTTAGAGCGCCTGACGGCCTCCTCTTCGCCTTTGCCGGTGAAGAAGCCGCCCAAAGTGGAAGTGAGCTTCGGCCCGGAGTCGGAGTACCTGCAGCTCGGTCAATCCCGGGGTGCCCCCGAAAGTTGTGGCTTTAGATGATGATTCCGCGGCTGATCCTTGTGCATGACCTTGAAAGGCCAACCGAAAGTGGCTCTGCAGGGGATGGGTAATGTTTAATGAAGTCTTGTTTCGAGGGCCCATCTTCTTAAATTCTTTAGCACAAGATGGTTTCCTACTCGGTGGGCTCCCTGTCCGCGTGCCCCTTTGACTGCTTAAAACCAAAATAGTAAACTCGCCAGGTTTATAGGTTTGCTCAGTGCAGATTTCGTGACGCAAACTTGCGATGGACGAAGAGGCAAGGGACCCCTCTAATCTGAACTGTTTAAAGTTCAAAGGCAAACCTTAATCCTTGACTTGCGTGAAAGGGGTCCCCTTTGTAGTGGTTGTACAATAGGGATTATGCGGATTATGGATTAGGATTGGCCAACACTCCACGTTGAACAGCCGAGCCAATGAGTTACCAGCGGGGTAAAGAACAGCAGCAACAGCAAGCGCCTGCGCTGAGCCTTTGTGCCCAGCCAAGGACAACTGGCAGTTTCAAGCAACAGCGCGTGAACCCCAAAATCAGGTCTAATAATTCATGGAGGGGAGAACCCCCTTGCCTATTTCCTTTTTGGTGCTTTTAAATGGTACCTCTTTTGCCAATTTAAGGCAGGTTTCCCTTGGTAGCGCCGATGTTGGAAATACGGGGACCTTGTGTTCTCTGGTGCCCTCAAACGCTCATACATGCACATCCATAGATGGATATATGACCATGTGTATATATATATACATGTAAACATATAGGTAGTAAGGAATCCATATGGGTTTCTCTCGCCTTCAAAATGTGCGTCTTCCAGCAGGTTTTTCAACACAAGCCCAACAAAGGGTTTCCTCAAGTGGCTGTCCTTGTTTCCCGGTCAAAAAATCCTCACCCTTAAAAGCTTAAAAGGGGTGCCCCTTCAAGAACCAACCGTCCCCCTTTTAAGGCGTTTTTCGCAAACCACCGGGAAGGTCTACAAATTCGGACCGAGGCCTCCGCTCCAGGGCCTCGCGGGGCTGCAGACGGAGCTGCAGCCGCTGCTGGGCCGCGCGGAGCGGCTGCTGGAGGAAGCCATGCGCGCCAGCAGGGCCTGGAGCGTCTCGGCGTGGAGCGAAACGGGTGTGGCCTCAAACGTGGGAGGAGGGCGGAGTTTGTTGGGTTTTTTGCTCCCAGACCTGGAGTTTGCTTGGGTTTGGTTTTCTGCTTGGTGCTTGGTGGTTGGTTGGTTGGTTGGTTGGTTGGTTGGTTGGTTGGTTGGTTGCTTGCTTGCTTGCTTGCTTGCTTGCTTGCTTGCTTGGTTAGTTGGTTGGTTGGTTGGTTGGTGGGTGGGTGGGTGGGTGGGTGGGTTGGTTGGTGGTTGGACGCATCCCCGGCATCACCATGTTAAGCAGACCGAAAAAGAAACACAGAACAACAGCAAACACAAGGCAAACTCAAGACATGATTTTGTGTTGCAAGTTTTAGGGGCCCAAAAAATCATGAAGCTATGCAGCTCACCGCTTGGCGGGCCCCAAGCTGGCGGCCGCTACAAGTGCAATCCTGCTTTCCTATCGTTGTTAAGCACCCCGCCATAGGGGCCCCGTTCCAACGGCAACTAATGAGGCCTATGCGGGCCCTGTTTTTTTTCATTTTTCTAGGGGAGGGTCCCCTCTTTCAGGGCCCCTCCTGACTATGGCTGCAGGGTGTTCAAATCCTGTTGGTGGACTTTGTACTTGTGTGAAGACCATTGTATTCTTTTAAGGTAGTAAACACCCAGCTTGGACTTTTGTGGCCCATGCATTGCACTCAGGAAGTGAGTGTTTGGGCCTTCAGCACTTGCCTTTGCCTGATGTGACGGGTGCCTGGGGTATTCTCAGTTGGTTGCCGGCCAAATCCTGCTTGTAACGCCCCGGCCCATGGTCGCACTATGGCCACCCTACGCATGAAGCCCCATGATGACAGCTTAGTTTCCAGGGTTGCTCCACTCAAGGATTTTCTTTTGAAGTTCACCCGGGTTGGATCCTTCTCTGTAATGACATGCCCGATCTCTCGGGCGCTAGCATCATTCTGACCAGGTTTCGCACGCCCATGTGGGAAGGGAACGTGCTCTGGCTTTGTCCGAGGAAATGCGCATTCTCGGTTGACAAACGGCATGCCATCGGCCAGCTCCGTCCCAGTCAAGTACTGCAGGGCCCCATATATGGAACCGACAAAGCACTCGGCAAAGTACTATATGTTGTTTTTTTCTTGGAACCCTTTTTGGGTTCCGCATAATTTATTAAACTGGACGCGACGCTTGTTTTGAGGTGCCGATGGTGGTGAAGGCCAAGAACCTGTTATGCCTCCATCGCCCGCTGGCAAGCCGAACGAGAAGTACACTGCGTCTTGGCTCATGGATCGCGGATGGCTGCAATTCGATCTTTGGCTTTCAAACAATTGGCGTCAGAGGTCGTTTCTTGAAACTTGCCCTTGTTCTACTTTGATACGTCCTTTTCTTGACACGTCTGCATGTAAACTGCCTATATTGGGGCACTTTCCCACGCCCTCCGCACCTTACCTTTTGCCTCCCTTTGGCGAACATGAAGCAGACCTCGCAATCCTCGCCTAGGCGTGATGCCGTCCAACCCTTGCCCCTATTGATAGACGGTCATTTCCGGAGAGAGAGAGAGAGAAAGAAAGAGAGAGAGAGAGAGAGAGAGAAAGAGAAAAAGAAAGAGAGAGTGCGTGCGAAAAAGACAACAAATAGGGTCGTAGCATCACCCGGTGTTTCGTGGTAGCCTTAATCCGAAAGAAGCGTAAACAAACAGAACACGCATTCTGGCCCTGACAATTTCGAGGCAACTATTGAACCTGAAACAAACACCTTTGTTTTATTTGCGAAAGGCATGCTGGTTTGTCACTTGTCTTGACCACTTTCAGTTTGCGATCGACCTTAGTCCTGGAGGTCTCGGTGCCCAAGAAATTTCATCACTGCAGACTTGTGTCAGGTAATTGGCGGAAGGGGTTGGCTGGCGTGCCCCTGCAAACTCGCCCTTTCCATTCGCCCTTGCCGTAGCCAAACTCCAAGCTTCGCGTTGTTTGTGTTGGTGATTCTGTGCTTTTTGCAAAAGATCAGCTACATTCTTTCCCAAAAGAAGCAAGACAACAATCGTTAATCCCTCCTGCCCCCCAAAGCCGGATATGGGCGTTTGAAAGTATTCATTCATATTCGTGGACCGCTCCCGGCCCAGGAAGCTTCACTAGCGGAGCAGTTGGACCGGCAATTCGCGGAGTTGTGCAGCAGCTTCCAGGACCGTTTCCATGAGGCGTGTCCGAGTTTCGGCGCACAGCCTCGCCCAAAGCCAGGTACTCTATTTGTCCACTGCGGTTTTAAAACAGAATTAACTCGACAACTTTGACTTGCAAATTCTTTGGGGGGCGATAGGGATGTTTACAATGCAGCCCCAATTCACTCTGTTTTTGCCGTCAACAAGGTGAGATTCTTTGCCAGTCTTCGTGCACCGCCAAAGAACGAATCCTGTAGCTGTTGCCTGGTCGTACTATTTCCTGCCGTTTGGCAAACCCAAAAAAACAAAGAAATGGGGGCCCAGCCTCTTATAGGGCTGCAACATCAGTTTTCGGTGACAGGGTTAAGCATCTCTCCGAAGGTATCCCGTGCAGAGCTAAACGTAACAAAGCCAAATCAGAAACATTGGCAAGAAGCAACTCTTGTGTCGGGGCTGCTTGCACTGGTTGCGGGTTCATCTTGGGAATTGGGACGCTTTCGTAAAACGGGCAAGCTGGCCCCAACTTGACCCTCCCTCAGCACCCTCTCCCTTAATTAAGGTAGGGGAGGGTGACAAAAGGTGTCTTTGAGGATTGGCGGATGTTGGGAGAGTATCGTAGGGGTAGCCTCAAACAGTAGTTTGACCGTCCTGCTTTACAAGGTACAAGTATGTGTCAGCAACACTGCGCGCAGTCTTCTTGCACCCCCTCCCAGGCCTTCCAAAATACATGCTCTGACGAGGCACGGAGCCTCCCAAAAGCTGGCCTAGAATGCGCAAACAAAACACCTTGCAAATCACATCAAGGAAGGGAGCGGAGTGTCTGGGAAGGGGTGCGGGAAGGGGTGTGAGAAGGGGCCGGGTATGGGAAGGGGGTGCGGGGGCGCGGTGCAATAAAGAAATTCTGTTAGAGGCCGTCCCACGTCCCATGTGTGTGCCCCTTGGGAGCCCCTGTTGCATGCCCCTGCATCCTATGTGTCGGAGCTAATGCCCACATACCTGGACCAACCAAGGGCACTTTTTTTGCGACTGTCCGCAAAAATCCGTGCATTTCCTAGACATCTATACATTCGAGCAAAAACTGTACTTTTCTTGCGGGCTCAACAGAAGACACAGTAGCATTCAACTACTTTTTTCGGCAAGGATCTCTATTCAGCTCCGACCCTGGCACTGGAGATTGTCATGGAAAATCCCAATTGAATGTCTGCAATTCACCAAGGACAAAAGGTGCGCATTTTCCCAAGCAAATGTTCCGCTGATTTCAGCACTTTCTCGGCAGATTTGCGTACTTTTCACGTACTTTTCCTTCCTGCCGATTTCCGTGCATTTCCAGTTTCTGCATTTTGGCTGAGAAAACTTCAAACTTGCAAAAGCGGCAAGGAAACTGTCATATGTTGCGCCACAGCAACTGGAGACGCATGACCTGAAGCGAAATTAAGTATGACGGGCCATACAAATTGCAAACTGCGCTTAAGTGCATCCAGGACTTCCACAAACGATCACAGCCTGCTAAAGGCGATGTCCGTCAAATTGTCTAAAAAGTGTTCATGCACGATTTGTTTGCACGATTTTTTCGGACATGTACGGAAATTTCAGTACATTCGGAGGGTGCAGGTATATTCTTATATAAACTTGCAAGGCTTGGGTGAGTGGAACTCCCTCCCTCCTTCCCGCACCTGGGGCTTGCTCCTTGAGTTTCTCTTAGGCTAGGGCCAATTTGATTGGACACGAGTACGGGCTACCAAACCAGTGCAGGTTGTCTCATGGCGTGCCAAGCTTTCCGAGTGCTTCGCGGCACAGGCGGAGAGTCTTCAGGGGCGGTGCAAAGAAATGCTGGAGCACCTCACGGACTTGAGACGAGATGCTCTCAGTGGCCACGCCTCTTACATCTTGTCTGTACAAGTTTAACAGGAGATCCTCAAGGGAAACCTCCCGAATCTCCACGCCCCTTCAGGAACGCGTTGTTTTTGTTGATCGAAAAAGTGTTTTTTAATAAAATACATTTCTCCAAACATGTGTTGCCCATTTTTTTCAAGGGGGTGGGGATAGTCTTTTCACCATGCGCGGTCCTGACATTCAGTCAAATACCAGACTGCTGCGCGAGAGACTGATCAGAGCTCTCCTTTCGCACCACCTGGACAGTCAGCTGTATCTCTGGGACGCTTTTGGACTTGGAAAGCTAATCCTTCAAGTTTCTCAGCATCTCCGAGTGCAAAAAGTGTCCAGCCCCCCAATGCAGCTCAGTTTCTGAGCCTTTGAGCCTGGGCTTGGGGCTATGACCCTGGCCTTATACCGATAGCGGAGGACCGGCGGAAGCGAGCTTGTCTCGCCACGTGACTTTCTTGCGCAAAGCTTCAGTCGAAATTGTTGCCGTGGGTTCAGTGATTGAAGCCCATGTTGTACAGAGTGTTTGTTAAGGGGATGATTTTTTGAGAGGTTGAGGCTTTAAGTTCACAAGTTGCGCCGCGTGTTTGTCGTGCAGGTTTCTTAATTTGGAACATCCAGGCCTCCAAGTATTATGCATTTCACGAGACTCGCCACTCCGTGAAAATGGCGCTTCGGGTTTGCGGGAGGGCATGTGCCCAGCTTAAACATCACGGTCTTAAGGAAAGCAAGCTCAGCTGTGCACTGAGATTTGCCAACTCCCCTTTTGGCCTGGGCTTGGCGTTTTTGGCAGGCAGGGCTCAGGACTATCGGGGTTGTCGTGCCACGTTGTTGAATTTTCTCAGGCCCTTCGCATGAGTCTTGGAGGGCTTTCCCTTCTCAAGGGCAGAGGGCCCGTTTGACTTGGCGGATTCACTGGATGAAGCGAACCCTGTGACGGCATTGCTTGACGGGGCTGAAGGCTGATGATCACACCGGCACTAGATGAAAAGCAAACCAGGCTTTGGGATCCACATTTACTATGTGGCTGGATGTCAAGCTTGCAGCTTCTGATTGGATACTGGGAAGAAACAAGACCATGCCTTCCACCTTCCTTGCAAGACTTCGACATACAGTCGCACTTAGTTTAAGTGAGCATGTAAAGTGGGAGACAAGGCACGCTGCGAAACCTATACTCAGCGATTCAGTATGGCTCTCGACCACGGCCACTGTTTTCCCAACCATGCGGAGAGGTTTGCAATGAGGTCAACTTTTCCCATGGCTATGCAAGGGCATTGCCCAATCAGTCATTTGTAGCCTAATGGGAAGTTTTGGACAACACGCAACGCAGGAATCCCGACCGTGGCAGACCGTTTCCGAGGACAGCCTCATTGTGCCAAGTTGAATGGAAAGGCGAAAGCTGGGTAATCTACGAACCAACTGAAACATGTTGGGAGCAGTTGCATCTGAGCACCCATGCCACCAACCAGATCGCTCAGGAAGGTTACAGAGAAGAGCTTTCAGAGGTTGGAGGACCGGATCTGCTTTCAGCTGTGTATGTATTTTGCGAAGTTGTTGGCTTACTTTTTCTTACACCACGGTAGACATTGGCACAAATGAGTCAGGTGCGTTGTTTCTTTGTCAGACAGGCTGACTTCGCGGAGGGTTTTTTGGAACAAATGTTTCGCACATCTCGAGATTGAAAGGACACAGGTTGCTGCATTGTGGCAGGTGAATCCGGGCCTGGTTTCTTCGAAGCAACTTTGTTCAACGTGGAAAGATGTGGCAAGTGTTGACGTCACGTAGACATGTGTGAGGAGATACATACCGGGGCCATAAAAATGTGCCTATTTACTCCGTCTGTGCTTTGCACAGCCGCAATGGCCGAATGCATGAGCCCACAGGTGCACACCGGGCATGAACCTTGGTCTGTAAGCCTTTGTTTCGAGCCAATATTGTAGTTGAAATTGGCCAGCGTAGCCCGCGTAAAGCAGGCTGGGGACCCTTTCTTGTTTCCGGGAAGGATTTCCTTTTGACACCAACCAATCAAACCCGGGGTGACCTTCGTGGCAACTGGGCTGAGAATGGTCATACCAGCGGACCAGCGGTGTGTTTTTTTGCCGAGTCAGGACGACACCTCCAAGCTGACACGCGGGGCTTGGGTGGCCCAGCATCCGCCAATTTGACAGCTGAGGGTGCCCTGTTTCATGGGTCACACTCAGCATAACTTTGGAACGTTTTCTTGCATCTTTTCTGTTGGAGGGAACGCACGTTAGATTGCCAGGATGTAAGGTTGGATGGTTAGTCCGTCGTCGGGAGCTTTTGCACAAACGGCGGTTCCAGAGTTGCATTGAACAATCCGCTTGACCAAGGTTTGCCATGGCAGCACAGTTGCTGTTGGTAATAGTGGTTCACATGCTATGTATATATGCATGCCATACATTGTTCATGTATCGTCAAGAGGTTTGCTTGTTCACCCTCCTGCGGCCTACAGTTCTTCAACTTTGAATGCGCATGATAGTTCGATTTGCAAATTGCACTGTGCGCATGTTGTTGTGTTGCCTTGCTCCCCAGAGCATATAATACGATATGCCAGGGAAATTTGTATTGTGAACCTATGGATGCTGCCTTGGTGTCGTGTTCATCGTGCGCTGCTAGGATGCCAAGCCGCCAAGAGGAAGATCATTGCTTCAGGTTGCCCGCAAACATGAAATCCACCAGTGGGTCTTTTGGAGGAACATAGTTTCCAGACCCTCCGGTCAGGTTTCATGTTAGTCCCTTTGTCCCTTGGGGTAGTTGATTACAGCACGCACATTGATTGGTAGATGCAATTTTGCTGGTCCAGGACAGTCCGCATGATGGCCCATTTAGTTGATGCGCTTGAACTCTGCGGGGCACTGATGTTCAATGCCTTTCGACAGTTCCAACACCTGTCCGCAGCACGTTGGCTCGACAAGGCGCTGATAAAAGTCGATATGAACATCTAGCAGATGCACAGCCGAGCGTTGGGCATTGCAGATAGGTGTTCTTCAAAATTGTTGTTCACCCGATTGACATCCTGCCATTACTTCCTGCCCTTTCGTTCAACTCTTCGGCCTGCAGTGCAACTTGGTCGCAGTGCTTGTTCTCCAGACATGCGACATGAACCGGTGCCGTGCTTTGATATTCACGAGGTGGTTTCCAGGGCGTTCCAGGGCCTACGTGTGGATCGGATGGCGGGCTGGGGCTGAAGGCATCGGAGGTAGGGCCATGATTTCATGGTTATTTCGCTTATTCAAGTTGTTTGAAGTCATGTACCGCTGGCCGGGCCGGGTCGATCAGCTGCGGAGGTAGTATATAAATGTTGATAAAAGCAATCCAGCTGACCTATTTGGGCATCCAGGTGTTTATTTTTGATTTTGCGTGCGCCGCAAGATGCAAACCTGCATTCACACTAGGTTTCTCGATGAATGGGAGGTGCCTGTTAAAGCAGTGGCACAAATCCTGATATGTCCAGAGCATTGCTTTCGCGCCAGCCCACCGCTGATACGGTTTTAGGCCACTATGGGGCAGGAGGGTTTGCGACGTGTATGAATAGGCCCTAGGCCGCGGAAAATTAGATTGCCGTGAGATTCAACTTGAGTCAACTCAATCAAGTGTTTTTTCCCGCTGGCTTGCTTTGGCTGCGCTGGCAGGCGAGCAACATACACATTTGTAAGAGTCCATGCGAAGCATGGTCGCAGTCAGTGTCTTGCGGGACAAGCAGAGTAAGACTGTTGAGCCGAAGTCGCTTCAATCCTCAGAGCGGATGGCAAGACATTTGTGTCCTCAGAACCAGCTGTCAAGCTGTTATCGGCCACTACTTCCAGAGCACACAATGTGCTTGTACGTCTCCAAAAAAAAAAAACAACAACAAAAAACAAAAAACAAAAACAAAAAAACGCAGAGTGTTTTCAATTGATTTTCCCTTCAACCCCCCCTCCAAAAGGGGCCGTCCTTGTTTTCGCCCAAAACAAGGGACGCCATAAAAAATTCCGAGGCGAATGGGGAACGGCTCCTCGAGGCCGTTTTACTCGTGTAACACTGGGGAGTGCAACCGCTGTGATGCGCTGGTGGACGCCACTCGGCCAAAGAGGTGTCCATTTTTGGGATACCAAAGGATAGCGGGGAGTTGGCGTACCCTCCGCCAGACTAACATGGAACCCCTTGAAGGACTCGGTTCCATTTACAGAGGCCTGCTGGGAGCTTCCATGTTAGTCTGAGGCGGTGTAAAGGGAAACAAAGTGGCAGCCACCATGTTTAGCCCCCCCATTTGGACTCACGCATACCCAAAAGGTCCGACAGGGTGAGTTTTGAACACTACCTTCTTTCCTTTTCCCACCATGCCACTGGGAAACTGTGTCCGGAAAAGCCAGTTGAATTTCCGGTCTTTTTCGCACATCGTATTGCGAACACTCCTTTCGGAAACGACAGCTTAGGTTGGGTGTTCTTCTTATGGGCAGTGGGACGATGTTTCTGGGAGGGATGTAGGGAGCCCTGGCAGTTAACGTGTCTCACAGCATTGCTGTGGTTCCCCTGTCAAAATGTCTTCAGTCCTATGCGATTTGCCATGCCCAGATAAATTTTGTTTGGAGCCCTCAAGGGCATATGTCCAAGGATCAATTTGAAACAATTGCAGTGCCGCTGAGGGGACCTAGGCAAAAACTCTTCAGGCCTTCTTGTCTCTAAAGCTCTAGGTGACTGAGCACAGAATCGCCTCACATGCTAGCAAAGCTCCAAGAACACTGTTGGGGGCATTGGCACGTGTGGCCTACGGGGTCAACAAGATGACTATTTTTTTTGCCAAGGGTGGGGGGTTCTAGTACTTTTAGCTTGCGTGGTCACCGGATTGCTGGCAGATGTATTATTTGCCAAGCAATCCCATTGTGTTGCGGCTTTTGGTGTGGCTCGGGCAGCATTTGTTTGATATAAGCCTCACGTCTTACAGTTTTATGTGAGAGTTTACTGTTATCCAGCTGCGACCAAAGCAGGGAACCATATGTTACGTTTGTCCTTTCCGGAAGAGCTGCGCCAGTTCTTCGATTTGCCGCAGTGCCTTTGCCAAGCTTGCAACCAAACACCA